CACTATTAGCTAATAGTACTATTAGCTAATAGTACTATAGTAATAGAACTATAATCTTTATAAAAATTGAGGATAACCTCGGAAAGGTAAGTCTTATTATTGATTGAATTGCCCTCTTGGAATGCCTGCTTAGCTGCAGAATCTGCTTCTTCATTTCCCGTAATTCCAACGTGCGCAGGACACCATGTGAATCTAACATATAGACCATGATTTAAATAATATACTACTTTATTGTATAAATCTCTAATGGATGGATTAAGACTAACAAAGGGGGAATTAGGATTTTAATTGGTCCCGAACACGTGTATAAAATTGTAAGGGTAATAAAAGAGTCCGTGCAGACATTAACAAATTTCCAAGAGTGAGAATAGGCAAAGTCAAGGGACTCTCTAATAGCGGCGATATCCGCAGAAAAGACATTCGAAAAACTGTTCAGCTTGAATCCTCTAGAAAGATTGAGTTGAGGGACCACAAAAACCGCCCCAACCGATGGGGGGTGATCAATCTGTTCAAAGCGAGAACCATCCGTGAATATCCTCACTTCTCTGGGGTCTTTCTTATTCATGTTAACATTAAATTCAAAAATTTGATTGTTTGAAGTACAGGTAATCTCTTTATCGATTAAGAGTCCTGTAGACAAATCCAGATCAAGCACAGGCGGAGGAATCTCTACAAGAGAGAGTAGGGTGGAAATCCCACTTATATAAATGGTCTGGGAAATACAATTTCTTGATTGTGACCAACATAAAATAATAAAAGGTATATTTCTGGCCGCAGTATTAGTTGAAATATTATGAAAATACTTAATTTTATTAATAATTCTTATTTTCAAGCTGAATTAATCTGCATAAGTATTTATCCGCTTTTAACGTTGTTCTTTTAAAAAATGAGTCTTGGTTAGAGAAATTCCAAATAATTCTATTAGAAGCACTATTGGGAAGTCTCAAGGCTCTCTTGTAAGCCGCGCCCAGTAATTTGTTAATTCCATTCAAATGCGAGTTAGCGGCGCTAACAAACCAAATCGCACCCCATTCGAGCTGTGAACTGATGGTGGCATTTATAAATTGTATTGCAGAGATAGGAGATATGCCCCAAACACTTCCACATAGCCACTTAAGGATGTTAGAAAAAAGAGCAGATCTATTACAAAGATGAGCGATATGGTTCTTCCATCTAAGGCCGGCGTCTAGCGTTATACCCAAGTATTTCACTATATTATTGAGGGGAATGGAGCCTGACTTGGTAATAAGATATGCAGGGAAAGCCGGTGACTTAGCTCTAGAAAAAACCGTGAATTGTGTTTTAGGTAAGGAAATCTCTAGATTTAAATTTTGCAACCAATTCTCCACTTCACAGAAAGCATTTGACAGACTATTGTATATGTTCTCTATTTCCGGTTTCCAACATATAATAGCAATATCATCAGCGAATAGAATTGTTGTACAATTGAATGGAATATGATTCGATATGTCTCACATATAAATTAAAAAGGAGAGGGCTTAAAACAGTACCCTGAGGAAGACCTCTTTGCAAAATTCTACTACCGTAGGAAATACCTGATTCATAGAAATCTATCCGCCTGGGACCGATCAGATTACCCAGGAATTTTTTATATTCTGTAGGAATATTCATGAAATTAATAATTTTAAACAGTTTGGCGAGGTTAACGTTATCATAAGCTCTCTTAATATCCAGAAAGAGACCCCCGGCAGGCATTCTCTTGATAAAGGCCTTATAAGCGAATAAATTAATGAGTGCTAGGCAGTCGTCACAAGATCTACCCCTTTTAAAACCAAACTGGCAATTGGGAAGAAGGTAATTGAGCTCGACATACCTCTCTAACCGAGGTTTAATTAGATCGCAAGAGCACACGT